CGCTCACGCTGGCTGCTGGCTACACACGGTAGCCCATGGCAACCCACTGCCACAGGGGCTGCAACCTGCGCCGTCACCGGCGACTCAAGGCAGCTCAGCTCCAGGTTGAGCTGTTGTTGAGCATCTTAGCTGTAGAGGGCAGTGTCACTGGCCCTCATATGTGGGATCCGAACCGGGGCCCTCTGGCATCCCAAGCAAGCTCTTAACCAACGTGCCACTGGCTGGCCCTCTCACTTTCATTATTTTTGTCTGGGCTGCTATCATAGTTGGCTTGGGCCATACTCTGTTGTTCACAGTGCAACTAGTATTTTCCTAAAATATAGGTGTGACTATCTGACTCCCTTGCTCAAAGCCCTTCATTGTTTCCCATTCCTCTTGGGATGAAGTTCAAATTCCTTAAGCTGATTTATAAGCCCAGCTGTCATGTAGCCCCTTGCTTAAATATCTAGCATAGTCCCTTGCCATTCCTGCTCTTGCATTCTATGTTCCAAACATAGTGACCCCCCCACACACACACACACACACCAGTTCCTCAGACATGCCATGTTCTTTCTTGTCTCTGGACCTTTGTACCTTTTGTCGTCCTATCAACAGTCTTCTCTCTGCTTATCTCCTCTACAACCCCTTCCTGCCCCCTGGCCCCAGCTTTCCTGACTGATTCCGATTACTGACTCCAATTCAAAAAGGGTAAGAAAGCTTAGAGATCATTTCTGGGAATCCTTCCTTCACCTGCCAAGTCAGTCAGGCCCTCCTAGTATATATCCTGATAGCATCTTTACTTTCCTCTATCATTGCACTTACATTGCACCATAACCCCTTATTAATAATCCCCTCCTCCACAAGATTAAAGTTTCATGAGGCAAGGACTCTGTCACTTGTGTGCATTAATAGTCTCCAGGGCCTAGCACAGTGCCTGGCACATAGTAGGATTCATGGATGATGACAAAATTTTTTCTATCCTCAGTAACCTCCCTTTGCTTCCATAGCGAAACTCATGGCTCTCAAGACAAGATCTCTTACTTGGTTTGTGTCTTTCCTGCCAAGTCCCCCTACTTCTTTCTCTTACTTTTTACTCCTACCCTCCCCGTGGATCTTCACACCATCCCTCATAATAGTACCAACTCACATTTTTCTTTGTCTTTGTTTATTATATTCCTGTATTTTTTTCCTTTACCCTTTCACTTGACAAAAGCATATTTCTTGTTTGTTTGTTTGTTTTTATTTAGTTTCAAGTGTACAAAACAATGCAATAGTTATACTTTTCACCTCTCACCAAGTGACAATACCCCTCTTCCCAAAAATTATATTTCTTAAGGACATAGCTCAAAGCCTTTATCTTCGTAGGCAGAATTAATCACTCTTTAATAGTAGTGAGCCTATAGTAATTTAGTAATTTGTTCTTAGTGCCCAGTACAATTCTACCTTGTATTCTGATTAGTTGAGGATAAGGGTCTATATTTTATTCATCTTTTTGTAACTCAGTGTTAATGAATGCAGTTGAATTAAATGTATGTGGTCAACATTAATGAATTTCTAGACTATTGCTTTTCTACATTGCTATCTAATGTGTGTATCTGACAATTTCAGACACTGTGGCGAACTAAAGTAGAGGTAATTTAGTGAAGAGCATGGGATCTGAGACATCAATATTTTAGCTGTGCCATTTACTACATGAAATTACTTTGGGGAAAATGATTTATCACCTTGAAGTTAAAGTTATATGTAAAATGGAAATAAAAATAATAGTTACTTTGCCTTCCTTATAGGATTGTGGAAAGAATGAAATGAAATCATGCATATGAAAGTTCTCTACACATTCTAAAATGTTATGTAAATGTTGGTGGCAGTTTGACTTTCCTCATGCATCAGCCCTATTTTTGTATTGTTTTAGACCACGGCACAGCGTGGCTAGTTTAGAAAGCATCGTGAACGAAGCTAAGAACATTCCAGCTTTTCTACCCAATGTGCTGTCCCTGAAAGAAGCCTTACAAAAGGCTCGAGAATGGACAGCTAAAGTGGAAGCTATTCAGGTAAGGAGCCTTTAGAGTTATCCTACCATTTAGATTGTGCTGTTTCACAGATTAATCCTTTAAGCCTTTAAATTTTTAGAATAGAATAACCATAATAAAATAATTGCACTTCTTAAAATTCATTTGTTCTTCCATCTGATTTTATAATTCAAAATATTTATTACCTATTTAAGCATTGCTTGTTTCTCTTGACTCCCTGCTGTAAAAGGTGACAGATTAGCTATTTATTTAACTCTGAGCAGTAGGGAGTTTATACCTTGCTGTATTCTTTGAATCTTTTGCCATATGCACAAATTACTTTTTAAATAAGAGGCAGAAAAAGAAAATGAAATTAACATTTACTGAATACCAAAATACTCACGGTATTATTCTATGAGAGCAGAAATGTAAGGCAAGGGTGTAAAGATAGGACTCTGGCTGTCAAAATAGCATGTTCTCTCGTTGGGGAGACATGTATATTTGTAATTTAAAACAAAGTGAAGAAAGTGCTAGATAGAGATGAAAGTATACTTGAATACATAATATGTCTTCTGAATTATAAAAGCCATTAAGCAGCATTTACAGTATTCAGTTATATAAGTGCTCTTTATTATAGAGCTATACTCAAAGAAAAAGAAAACCGACTCACTTCTACTGAACTGCTGCACCAAGAAGGAACACATTCTAGGTGTCAAGTCCGAATGACTTCTTTCTTACTTTCTTTTCAATTTACTTTTTTGGGGCCTGCTTAACTGCCACTCTTTCTGTGCTGTTTTTAAAAATTATTTCTGTTTTCATCAGGACAGCTCCTCTGTTTGTTTCATCTTTGACCTATTTCAGGCAGTTGGTTGTCCTCAAAATGTCTGATAATCCTTAGTTGGCTGTTTGTTTATGACTGCAGGACTAAGTCAGCAAATATAGGTACCTGTCCTGTTTTTCCTCTGTAAGTTTGAAGGACTTTTTGTCCACCAAACCCTTCTTTTCAGTGGGAGGAATGATTTGTAGGTTCTAAGCGGGCAGTGTCTGTACACAGGCAAACTCTTTAGGATAGCTTGAGAGCAGGCTCTGTCTAGGCTTAGTCAGGTGTTCTGTAGTTAAATGGCTGTAGTTGGGCATGAGAGGGAGTAGTAATAAATGGGGTTTTTCTTGACCCTATCTGTACCTGAGCTTTCTTTTTTCTTTCAGTTAGCTGTCTGTTCTTACTCTTAACACCATGGTGACTTAATTATACCATTATATAATACATTAGCGCTAAAACCTTCTTACTAATATTTTAAAAATTTTACCTGTTTATTAAAAATGAATTTGTAGGCACATAAATCAGTTAATATATGGGAAATAACCTTTTAATAGAATGTCAATATTTAGCACATAATACCATGCCTTTCCTTCATAGCCTCTGAGTAACAATGAATGTTATGGGAATATATAGTTTCTTAGAGGAATACTTCATGTTTTGTCTGCTAGGAGATTCATCCAATCTAAGATACGACTTTGAATTATTTTCTACAGGCTGCCAACCCACTTCAGGTGTTCTTGCCAAGACCCTGGAATGGATTACCGTATTTGCCGGCGTATAAGACGATTTTTTTGGCCCTGAAAAATATGCCTCCAAGTGGGGGGTCGTCTTATACGCCAGGTACACTTCAGATAGACTGCCCATAGTGCTTGCCCCGTGCCATAGTGGCCTCCCGATGCCCGCCCACTTCATTCCACATACCGTTCAGGCATCAGCAGCGCTGCTGGGTGTATGCTCGGCTGTGTGCGATTTTGCGAGTGTGGTAAATTCGGGTTACCGTATATTTCTTTACATATGCATTGAAGATTCGCGATTTTGCGCTATCATGGTGCCTGTTAGAATGTTGAAGAGCTCGCACTTGCGCACTAGTGAGGTCCCAGGGAGATGCTGATGCAAGGGTGGACCAGACTGCTATAGTGACAGGGCGGGCAAACAGGGAGCAGGGACCAATCAAATCAGGCTTTGTATACAGCCAACAGCCAACCACAATACTGCACCATTGTACAGTACAGCATAGAAAATGTCGACCAGTCAAACCCCTATCATCCCTATCATGGCACCAGCCAAAAGAAAGAAGTATGATGCAAATTTTAAACTGAAAGTTATAAACTTTGCTAAGGAAAATAATAATTGTGCTGCTGCAAGACAATATGGAGTAACAGAAAAGATGGTTCGGGACTGGAAATCAAATGAGAAAGCATTAAAGAGTATGCCAAGGGGTAAGTGTGCATTAAGAAGAGGCACCCCACACTGGCCAGAACTCGAAAAACATGTAGCAGACATGGTGGCTCAACATCGCCAAAACGGTTATGTGGTGACATGAAATACAATACGCTTGTTTGCACTTCAGTGGGCCAAATCAAATCTGATATTGTTTTACCTTTTATTTGGTGTGTGGAAGGTGTGCGGAAGAGGGGGTAGTCTTATACGGCGAGTATATAACAAACTCTGTATTTTGAGTGGAAATGTTAGGGGGTCGTCTTATACGCCCAGTCGTCTTATACGCCGGCAAATACGGTACTTGTTAACCCTCTCACCTCCTGAAATGATTCAGCTATTTAGTAAATTTAAAGCAGTATGTGAGTTCTAAAAACAATAATGATTTCATTACATGTAAATACTGAAACATTGTGACTTAGAAGGAAAATATCCATTCTCATCTGTTTGTATAACATAAAATGGACGTTGTTATCAGCACAAAAATACTGCTTAGTAGCTGTTGGAAAAATCGTGAAAGACTTTGAAACAAGCAAAGAGATTATTACTAGATGTCCTTTCAATGGAATACTGGATATGGTCTAGTGACACTCCGTGATTATCTGATTCTAGGAGTGTGTATGTTAGATTTTCTTTGATGAAGCTATTTTACAACTGTCAGTTATTAAAAAATGATAGTAATACAAATGAATTATGTCCATAACAAAGGCAATTAAGTTTGTCTTTGGATATGGCACAGTTGATTTCCATACTGTAGAAAAGATAATTCCATTGTCCTGTATGATATTAAACACCTGTTCCCATCTGTTAGCAAATTCCTGTCCTTATTCCTATATCATATGTATATGACTATTATTTAGATTGTCCTTTGAACTAGTTTTTACATCTTAGTGGTCTCTTCATTAATTAATAAAATTAAAATCTTTGACAACGTGAATTTACACAAACTTTTTTAAAAATTAAATGTGGGGTGACGTTGGTTAGTAACATGTTTCAAATGTACAAATATATAATATATCATCTGTATATTGCATTTACACAGACTTTTTTAAAAGGACATTGGTAGCTCTATTAATTCAAGAGATACAATTAGGTTTAATTAGTAATATTAAAAAAACACTTTAAACTCTTTGTAAGGTCTTCTGACAACATATTGCCAGATTCCATAAGAGAATGCAAATCGTGTGAGAATGTATTTTTGTTTTTCAGAGTGGCAGCAATTATGCTTACTTGGAGCAACTGGAGAGCTTATCTGCCAAAGGGCGCCCTATCCCTGTGCGTCTTGATGCATTGCCCCAAGTAGAATCCCAGGTAGCAGCGGCTCGGGCCTGGAGAGAACGGACTGGGCGGACGTTTCTTAAGAAGAATTCTAGCCATACATTGTTACAGGTAGAGAGCAGTTTATACCTTCTTCAATACCCTCATCAGAAGTTGATAATTTAACACCTATAGGTAGTAATACTATTGACGGGGTTCGTTTTCACTTTATCTGGTCATGGTTATACAAGTGATTCCTATTAGGTAGTATCAACTGTTGACCAGAAATTGGAGCCTTGGGCAGACTTATTTCCGGTTCATCCTTTGCTGTGTCCAGAAAACGCAATCAGCCTGGATCTTATCTTTGTTGTTAATGGACTCTGTCACTGAAAGAGTTTATTTCTCAGAAGCACAAATTTAAATACTCATTACCCTGTTCATCTTGAGCATTTAAATATAGTACTTAAGAGCATAGACTTTGGAATAAGATGGTTTCATGTTTGAGGATGGCCTCCTTAATTACTAACCCTGTGTCTTCGGGCAAGTTGTTTCCTTTTTAAGCCTCAGTTTCACCTGTTTGTAAAATACAGATAATACTGCCTACTTCCGAGGGTGGTTGTGAGGATTGAGTTAGATAATGTGTATAAAATCCTTATGAAAGTGCCTAGGACTGGGTGAGTGGCCAATAAATGGCTCCTTTTATTATTTGCAGTTAAAAGATTTTTTAAAAAAAAACCAGAGCTCAATATTTGGTTTTATTTTTGTAGGTGCTAAGTCCCCGGACTGACATTGGTATATATGGAAGTGGTAAAAACAGAAGGAAAAAAGTAAAAGAACTAATAGAAAAAGAAAAAGAAAAGGATCTGGACCTGGAGCCTCTGAGTGACCTAGAGGAGGGATTGGAGGAAACCAGAGATACAGCCATGGTGGTAAGAAATTACGTAATGCATCTTGCGTTTGCATGATGAATACAAAATTCTGTGAAGACATTAGCAGATTTACTGTTTTTATGTTCTTAACTGTTTTTATTTTTCTTTATCTTTGGCTTTACGGTTATATGCCAGGGTGCCAAAAAATGTATACAAGTAGACACTTTGGTCAGCGTTGCTCAAGCAGTAGTTTGCTGTAATCAGAAGTGCCTGGACACTGATGGTAACCACTTTGAGCACCTCTTGTAATTGCAGAAGTCAAACGTGACTTGTATTCTTCTTTTGTTTTCAGAATATATTGAGTATTACAATTTTAATAAAGTTTTCCTTTCTTAAAATGTATATACATTTTTTGGCACCCTCTGTATATTGCACATATTTTTTAATATTTATAATAAAAGTATATAAAAAGTTTACTAGTCTGCTGTCTCCTTAAAATTGTCTTTTCCATATCTCTGTTCTTAATTGTTGTTTTATTTTTGCATTTCTTTTTAAATTAGCTTCAGGTGTACAAAGCAACATAATAGTTAGACATTTACACCCCTCAGAAAGTGGTGTTGTTTTAATAGTTGTCTAATATTCTATCAAATTGTGTATAATTTGCTGAACACTTTTCTGCTATTGAACATTTGATTGTTTCTAAGTGTTCACTATTATGGATCCCAAGAAGTGAATTTCTTTTTATACCCTTTTCCTTTTTTCAAATTATTTCCCTACACTTGACTCTTAGGAATGGGATTATTGGGTTAGAATTTAATAATATTTTATGACGCTTAATACAGTGCTTTTTAAAGGAATTGTATCAGCTTACTGATAACCAGCTGCTATTTAATATCTCCCTTCTCCTAGCATTCAAAAGTATAGTGAGTGCTCAAAAAAACATCTGTAGCTAATTATTAGAAGTACAGGGAGTAATTGGGCAATATGTAATAGTAGGGAATTGCATACATTAAGTAACTCGATATGGCTGTTTCTGCCTACACGTGATCCTGTTTGGAAGCCATTGGAAATGATCTCTTATTAGAGAGTCTTGCCCAGACAAGAAGGATGGGAAATTATTTCAAAATTGTTTCAAAGCTAGGAGAGTTTACGTGATAATTAAATTTTGTTTGCTTTTTATTTACTTTTTTGAAATGAGTTACACAAAATCTTGTTATAATTGATTATTCTACTTCTACACGAGTTGGAGAGGCCTTCTAAAAAGAACTAAAAATTTATTTGTATAGAACTTGCCCCCAGGGAATGAATTTCAAGGGGATGGAGAACTATTGTAGTACTTATTGAGTGTTTACCTTGTACCAAGCACCAAGTTAGGCATTTTGATGTGTTATCTTATTTAATCCTTAAACAACGAAATGAGATTGGTGGTATCCTCATTTTTCAAAAAACTTGTGCCCCAGATCAACAGTCTCTAAGCACAAGAGCCAGGCTTCATACCCAGGTTGCTTGACTTCAAGGCATACTACTTTCTACTGTACCCTACAGAATTCGGAGTACTCTGCAGATGTCAATTGTCAAATATGGTAGCACCTCACCCATTTCACAGATGAGGAATATTTGCATGGAAACTGTCAGGCTGCCCCAAATTTAGCAAATGATTAACAACTGATTATTTTTTAAAGGACAGTGCTTTGTCACCATGAGGCCATAACTTGGAGATGATCCCTCAGCCTTGAGGATTTGGTATTTTTGGAGTATTTTGCAGTGACTCTTTTTAATTAAATGTTTGTTGTGTACAGGTGGCAGTTTTCAAAGAACGGGAGCAAAAGGAGATTGAAGCCATGCATTCCCTCAGAGCAGCCAATCTAGCCAAGATGACAATGGTGGACCGCATAGAAGAAGTCAAATTTTGCGTTTGCCGCAAGACAGCCAGTGGGTTTATGCTACAGTGTGAGCTCTGCAAAGACTGGTTCCATAACAGCTGTGTTCCCCTGCCTAAATCAAATTCCCAGAAGAAAGGGTCTAGCTGGCAGGCTAAAGAAGTAAAATTCCTTTGCCCTCTTTGTATGCGGTCTCGAAGGCCAAGGCTGGAGACTATTCTGTCACTCCTGGTATCTCTTCAGAAGCTGCCTGTACGGTTGCCTGAAGGAGAGGCCCTGCAGTGCTTAACAGAACGTGCTATGAGTTGGCAAGATAGAGCACGGCAGGCCCTTGCCACAGATGAACTGTCCTCTGCCCTGGCCAAGCTGTCTGTGTTGAGCCAGCGTATGGTGGAGCAGGCAGCTCGAGAAAAAACTGAAAAGATCATCAGTGCAGAACTCCAAAAAGCAGCTGCCAATCCAGACTTACAGGCAAGTTTAGGATTTTCTTTCTTTTTCTATGACATGGGATAATAATGTTAAATAGTAAATCAAAGCTATCTTGCCAGTTGATTAGGAAAACAACAGTAAGTTGCCAGCAACTATATTATCCACAATATCTTCTTTCTGTATATACCCGTAGGATTTTCTTTGGATATATATCTAGGACATTTTAGTGAAATATTACCTGGAAATATCATTCAGATGGATCTTGGCATCATAATCAGATAATTTGACCCTTAACTAACTGGTGAACTGTGTTAGCCACTTTGCAAGTGCATTACGTTTTGGTGGTTGTAATCACATATCACTCGTGTTTATTTAGTATGTCTCTCTGTTCATCTTGGAATTGTTTGTTGTTTAGGGACATTTACCTAGTTTCCAGCAGTCTGCTTTTACCCGGGTGGTGAGCAGTGTATCTTCTTCCCCTCGACAAACAATGGATTATGATGATGAAGAAACAGATTCTGATGAAGACATTCGGGAGACATATGGCTACGACATGAAGGTAATTACATGGTCAGGTTGTGTGGGTACATACCTGACCTCTGAGTTTGTTTAAAAAGTTACTGAACACTCATGTTTAAGGCCTGAGAGTGGAAGAGAAAGTCATCTACTTATCTTGAGTTTATGGTGATAGCATTTTTCAAAGCTCCAAAAAATACATATTGATGAAACAATAATTGTGTGGGTGTTTTTTTTAAAGATTTTATTGGGTAATTGGGAGAGGGGAGCAGTGTTGGGGAATCGGGGAGGGGGAACAGACAAGTTGCTGTTCTTTGGTTCTTCAGTCTAGTTGTGGAGGACATCGCTTCACTGGCCCATGATGGTATTATCATGGAGCTCTTCCCGGGTGAGGCACATTGGTCGCCAGCCTCTGGACGGCCACTCACAGCAGCTCTTGGCATCTCACACCGGCTGCTGGCCGCTCACACTGGCTGCTGGCCACACACGGTAGCTTATGGCAACCCACTGCAGCAGGGGCTGCAGCCTTGGCCATTGCCGGCGACTCACGGCATCCCAGCTCCAGGTTGAGCTGTTGTTCACCATCTTAGCTGTAGAGGGCAGTGTCACTGGCCCTCATATGTGGGATCCGAACCAGGGTCCTGCTGCACAGAGCTGGTGTCCCAAGCCAGCTCTTAACCAATGTGCCACTCGGCTGGCCCAACAATTGTTTTTTAAAGAATGGAATTTTCTAAATCTGTATTTATTTTCCTCACCTTGTAACTCCTTATGGTTTAGAGCAGCAGTTCTCAACCTTCCTAATGCTGCGACCCCTTAATACAGTTCCTCATGTTGTGGTGACCCCCAATTATAAAATTATTTTCGTTGCTACTCTATAACTGTAATTTTGCTACTGTTATGAATCGTAATGTAAATATCTTTTTGTTTTCCGATGGTCTTAGGCGACCCCTGTGAAAGGGTCGTTCAACCCCCAAAGGGGTCACGACCCACAGGTTGAGAAACGCTGGTTTAGAGGGATTAGCAAAATTATGTATTTAAGCTACTGAAAGCTTTCATGGCTGATTTCAGTATCTTCTTTGGATTGTTAATGTCTGTATAGTTGTATTTTAAGAATCCCATTCTGGTTGTGCTTTGAGTCCTTTGCTATGGTCTCCCATCTGGATGGTGACAGATAGAATGTCTTATTCAGAGATGGGCCATACTTGGGCCTGCAGTTTGAATTTCCAGTTAGAATATATTATTTGCCCTCACTATTATTTTGATATTGACTGCACACTGGTGGTGAAGAGACAGTTTTGTAAGTTTGTTTTGTGTTGGATTTTATTGGCCTTTTATTGTTCTTTTATGTCAGGCCCAAGTCCTTGTTTTTAACCTAGTAATATGATTATTTGTTTAGAATTTATGCCTGTAACTTGGGAGTTCGTACTGTTACATATAAAAAAACAAAGTGTAGTCTTTCTCATACCTCTTAACTATCTTTTCTCTGTCTTTTCAGCATGCAGAGCAAGTAGGTAAGCCCATACCATCAGCATTAAAACTCCTAGGATATAAAATTAAAACCATCCGTCATAGATGCTTGTAAATTATCTGCTGGAAAATATTTTTCTCAAGATAAAAGTGGATCCGGGGGATGTTCTAATGAGGAAGTTTTTAGTTATATGCAGTAAAGACTTCAGAAAAACTGAAATTGAATTACCCTGTTAAAATAAGGCTGTAAGCACCTTGTTACTCTGAAGTGAATGACCATCTTTGTTTATAAAGTTGTATTGGATGACCAGGAGCAGCTGAAAGGGAATGCAGCCCATGCCTCCCTATGTGTAAGTTAGTTAGCTCATACTAAAATTGCCTGTTTGCCGTAGCTTAGAGGCCTCCGATAATCTGGGTTATCTTTCTAGCACATTAATAATCAACCACTACTCTAGAATTGCTGAACAGGATGAACTTTGCTTGGAAGCAGATTGGTAACCTATGAAAATAAAACATCGTAAGTAGTGCGTGATTTCAGGACTAGGGATCAAAACTGTGATTTGATCTGGTTGTATGGATGGAGCAGTCCCTTTTCATAAAATTTATATAGAGAGTCTCAGCCTACAGTTTCTTCTTTGGTAGGGGATATTGGCAGGGTAGAAAAATAAAATTATGGATTTTATAATGTTAACAGTGTATTTCACAGCTTAGAAGAGTGTAAGAATGGTGACAATACTTATGGTAATTCAAAGTAAAAGTTACCTTGATGTAGGTATCTTTGCATTAAAAAAAATTATACTCTTGGGTATTTTCCCATAGAGCAAGCACTTGTGATGATATTTTTATTTGCTAATTTATTTGCAGTTGGCTTGGTGATTTTTTTCCTTTGTTAGGTTTTCCCTGATTGTGACCATAAGTTCATCCTTAAAATAGTTTGAATTTAATATCTTTGCTTGAAGAAGAGCCCCCTACTGGTTTAGGAAGAGGAGTAGGTAATTATACAGAAAAATAAAATAAGTCATTTGATCTTAGTAATCATATAATCATAGCATTTAAATGTTTTAAACAGATGGTTTGTGCTTTGCGTTGTTTGATTACTTCATTTTGTATGTAATGTCCTTTGATCACCTCTAAAATACTCTGAGCAGCAATTCAGGAAATTCAGTACTTAGGAAAATATATATTCAGTGAAGGAAAGTCTGTCACAGATCTTTTGTGATTGTGTCTGGGGATAACCTTTCAAATATTCATATTATTTTCTTTTAAGGCATATTGTTGACCTTACTGAAACTGTTCACAATATTACAGTTTGTTTATATTTTGCAAATGCATATTTGCAAGAACGGCTATTCTACCTTTCTTGCATATTTGCCATCAGTGGGCCTGACCAGTAATTTTCCTTCTTAGGAAGAGTGATTTGTTTAAGCTTGCTGTTTATCAGCCTTTTACTTTTAACCTATCTGTGTCTATATATTTAAAATGTGTTTCTTATAGAAGCATATATAGTAAGACAGCATATATAGTAGGGTCCTTTATTGTCTGTTTTCTGCATATGTATGTATTTGTAAAATATGTAGTTTGAGTCTTTTTTTTTAATATTATCACTATCTTTTAATTGGGGGTGTTTAGTCTATTTACATTTAATGTCATTGTTGACATGGCTGGGTTTAAGTTGACCATCTTGCTATTTATTTTTCATTAAGCTCTTTAGTTTTTTGTTCCTCTGTTGCTCTTTTCCTCCCTTGTTTTGAATTAATTGAAATTTTAAAAAATGTTCCATTTTATTTTTTTCTTGGCTTTTTATTATACCTCTTATTTTTTTTCAGTGGTTAATCTAGGGCTAACAATGCATTTTTAACTTACCATAGTCAATATTGTACCTCTTCACATTTCATGCTTCACCTTGAGGAACTAATCTTTTTTAAAATTTCTTTTTACCTATCATACTTTTTGCATCGTTATTTTCTGATCACTGTACTTTCCATTTTGAAAGCGTAACAGAAAGTTCCCTGTGTGAATTACAATGAAATGAGTAGAGTCAAGGTCGTAAAAGCTCCAGTCAGTAAGAAGCAGCATCTGGGAACTAGAACAGGAAAGTACAGTGGTACTACAGCACTCCCATCTGTTGCTTTTCAGGACTTCAATTTTGACTGGGGAAAAAAACTGCGAACTATTATTCCTAAATTTTCAGCGAGTGGCATTGTCTTCCAGAATCCTCTTATAAGACCTTTTAAGTATCCTGTGTAATTAAGGGGAATTTTATGATAAGAATAGATTTTCCTTCCATGAATCCTAGGAAATCAGGTATTATGTAGTCATTAATTTGTTGCCTCTCTTCTCCTAACCCATTCCTTTATAATCTGCTTTGTGTTGCTGGGACTGGGACTACTCCAGGGGTGGTAAACTTTTTCTGTAAAGTAATATATATTAATATATATCATTATGTTATTACCTATATAGTAATGTATATTAATATATAATCTATGTAATGTAAATATTTTACGGTCTCTGTTGCACATTCCTCTCTTTTTTAACAATTCTTTAAAAACATGAAAATCATTCTTAGCTCACATTACATACAAAAAACAGGCTGCCAGCAGGGTTTGGTCCACAGGCTGTGGTGTGCCAACCTCTACACATTTGTCTCTTGCCTGTTGCCTCCCTTCTGCCTATAGAGAACATTAGAGAAAATTAATGGTCTGAACAGTGAGAAGGGAGTTGATCTTTGCCGTTTCACTCTCCATTCCTGTCATCCTCTGAACTGCATGCCTTTTTTTTTTTTTTAACCCTGGCAGTGGCAACTGTTTCCAGGTTCTACTTGTTTTTTTACACACATCCTCCCCTCCTCACCCCCAAACCAACCATATCAGGTTCCATTAGAGACAGCAGAACTAACTGGCCCACGCTTTCTCCTCACTGATCTGGATCTCAACTCGCCAGCGCTCCTCCTCTGAGTTTTTAGGTTCTGATAACCCCACTTCTTCCCTTTGTTACCTCAAGCCTTAGGGGTGACAACTCTTTCTTGGAATTATCTTGGTGTTACCTCAGTGTTTCTCTTTTGCCTTTTCAAGTCTTTAATATACAATTAACCAGTTCATTTTATTACATGTTCCTTGTTGAAATACATGTGATTTCTGTCTTTCTGACTGCACTCTGACCAGTGAGTATATGGAAACTAACCCAGGGCAGAATCATCTGAGACCTAATCAGAGCTGTCAGAATTGTATAATTTGAATATGGTCAGTCAGGCTCTTCACTGAATTAAGTAAGAGCAATTGGTAAGCTTCTAGGTTTGAAAACCTTTAGAGAGGATTAAATGATTTGTGTCCTTAAGATAGCACATCTAAACCTTTCTCCTCCTAAATCCATTTTTATTTTTTTCAAAGAGTCAAAGTTCTTAAATTGTGGGTTTCTATGAGTTGTAGACTGTACAAGGTAAATTACTTAATAGTAGTTTTCTTGTAGCTTTATTATCTCTGAATTATTTTTGAGCTTAATCTTTCCCTTTTGGCATGAAACTGTGATCATTACTGTTCTTTCCCCTAATGGACATTTTCTGTCTTATTTAATATCATATATTTAAGTTTAAAGTCATATTTTTCAGTGTAATATTAGAAGTTTTAACCTGAAAGCCTACATTTAAATCCTTATCATAGGATAAGTGAAGTGGCTCTAATACTGAATACTCCTCTTTGTTTCTTCTTCAGGACACAGCTAGTGTGAAGTCCTCCAGTAGTTTGGAACCCAACCTTTTTTGTGATGAAGAGATTCCCATTAAGTCTGAGGAGGTGGTCACTCACATGTGGACAGCGCCTTCATTCTGTGCAGAACATGCTTATTCTTCTGCTTCTAAGACTTGTTCTCAAGGTATTACCCTTTAAAACAGTGGAGAAGATAAGCCTGAAACTAGCTAGAAAAAACCATTATGATTAACCAAAGCTATTTATCCTTCTTAAATACAAATGTTTGCCATGAAATGCTGCTAGAACCTGAAAATGCAATTTTGGTTAGGAAAAGCTAGTCCCTTTTTGCACTTTCTGTCATTAGATGATAACCTGAAAACTTACATAAAATTATTGAATCCTAATTAGAAGAACTTTAGAGGCCATTTAGTCTCGTCTCTCTCTTTTTTTTTTTTCATTTTATAAAATAAGGTTTATTTATAATAACTACCTTTAATAACTATATGTTTACCCTGGGGAATGAATAAGTATACATATTGCTAGCTTTAACGTTTATTTAAAAGACACATTTTTTATACTACTAAAAAGATGAGACTCTTTTTCCCACTCTAAAAATCTTTTTTTTTTTTTT